GGGGGGTGTGCCGGGGTAATTACACTGACATAAAACCTTAACAAAAAAATATTCTGTCATATAATCTGAAATGTCAACGCGACTTCTACCCAAGGGAAATAATCGAAACATTCCTTGCTCATTGTCTCCCGCTCACCCCTGAAATACAAAAATAAGATGCATTCTCTCCCTTCATTGTTCGATGCTGCAGATAACAAAACAAAAAAGCTTTCAAGAATCGGGATGAACATGTCAATCAATATTTCCTGCTAAAGACAAAGGGCTCAACATTTTTTTGTGAGCTTATTAAAATAATGCGCCACAGAGAGACAAGTGGATTTTATGTTGCCACCTACAATGAAAGTCTGTTTTAAACGATTTCAGGGGTTGTATTTCATCAATACCGTTATTGCACGTGGATGTGGTGCGTCGACGCGACACAGAATTAAAACATGTACCAAATTTCTTAAAGTAATGTTTTTAAAAAAATATTTTTAAAGGACAGACACACAGACAGATACAACACAAAGGGTTAGTAATGACGTAGGGGCAACTAGCGGCGCTCACTGTTACGGGGTGCCCATTGGCAGGATCGAATCGAAATCGGGTCGGTTCGGATCGGATAATGACAGTTCTACCCAGTGCCCATTGGGGGATCGGTTCTCTTATACGGGGTGCTCATTGCGGATGGGATCGGGTCAGGTCGGGTCAGGTCGGGGGCGATCGCCCCACTTGTCGCCTGAAAACAAACGCGTTTATCTTTGAGGCGACAAGTCGGGCACGATCGGCTTGTTCCACGATAGCCGCTTCGCGCTCTAAATCTGGCTAGCAAACCGCCCCGATCAGACCTGATCCCCCAATGGGCACCCCGTATAACAAAAACCAATCGCCTGAATCAAGGCCTTGAAAGCCAACGTGTTTGGTTTTTAAAGGTCACCTTCGGCATCGTTCGGTTTGTGCAACGATGGTCGTTTTTCGCCCTCAATCTGGCTAAACCCGCCTACCAAATCAAACCGAAGGCAGACACTATTCGAAGACGTCTCCGGCGAGCACCCAGGAACTATTCGGAGACGCACTCCCACACACAGATGCACCGCTTTCGTGGGGTGTTCAAACTTCGTTTTATTTGCTGCAGATCACACATATAGCCACTAAAACATTCGCAAATCAATTATTTTCAAGAAAATTTTAAACTTAACTGCAAGAAATCCAATTATGGGTTAATCCTGTAACTCCCCCAGATTTTTGTTACTTAGTCTAGAGGCACAAAGCATTTTGATTGGTCTATTTCCGTCCGGTGGAGCCGTCTCCGAATACATACTGCGCAAACCGAACCGACTGTGCCAGTGGGCACTGGGTAGGGCATACTTCGAATAGACCTTTCCTGGTTGTGTAAGAGTTGACCCAGATGTTAATTAAAGAAAAGAAAAGATGGATCTTATGGTTTAAAATCTAGTATGTCGCCGTCGAGTTCAGTCGATTTGAGTCAAAATGGTAGCTTTCCATGAAGGAATATCTGGCTCGCCCTGAATCAAATGAAATCGATTGGCATGTGTGCAGGTGGGCCTAATTCTACTATAGTCTCAATAGTAAAGATAGGATCTCGATTTGAGACTCAGACTCCATTTTAAACTATCTATCTATCTATCTATCTATATATCTATCTATCTATCTATCGATCTATCTATCTATCTATCTATCTATCTATCTATCTATCTATCTATCTATCGATCTATCTATCTATCTATCTATCTATCTATCTATCTATCTATCTATC